TGTTGTAAGTTGAGGACTACCTGAACAGGCAGAGAATAGCCAAATTGCCATATTTTTTCTGACCCTTTTCAACTAAAGACCACTGATGTAGTTGAGAGAGGTTGTAACTAAGGCCTGCAAAACTATTGCTCGGGAACAGTCAAGTGGGCAGTGCCATAAGTAGTGTCCTCACCACTGCTGCCACCCAAAGATACTGTGCCAACTGGGGATCTTGCTCCTCCAGAGAAGCTTCTCCTTTATCCCACTTTTCTCTTCCTCCGCAGCACTTCTGTTTGTCTAGATTTAATGTTAATGAATTCTCCCTTATCAAACCCATTATTAAAATAATTGGGCAGGGCTCCCTTGAAGATGGAAGGTGGGGAGTGAAGTCCTCCTCCTCCCAAGCTCTGAATGGTTTTACTTGGATATGAGTCAGAAGAGCTACAGCCAAGATATAGAACTGTGGTTTCATGGCACCACCACCTGGGCACACCCTGACAGGAAGGCCTGGTGCAGTTGCAAAAGAATCTACCCCAGCCTGCTCCTTTCAGCAAGAGCCCACAATCTTCCTTCTTGGCAGCTACCCAGACAACACTCCTGCATCTGGCTTCTGGGATGGGTGACCAGGGTGGTCTCATTTATTCTGCCCCAGGATAATTTCACATCCTTTCCCCCCTCCCCCCCGGTACCAATCTAATCAGCAAACCCAGAATTTTTTTAAGTTCACAATATATTATTTTGAGACGCTGACAAATATATCTATATACATCAAGTTTTTGGGAGTTTGCTGTTTATTTTCTTTGGATAAACTTGAATGGGATTATTACGTTCCGTTTCTTGATTTCGATGTTTACTCCCTTTTTACAGTCACACTTCGTGTCAGCCTTAACTGTGGTGTTTGTAAACTCCAAATCCCTTTCTTCACTCAAGATAGACGGTACGCCAGTAGACGATCCATCTCTCAAGGTGTTGGTGGCTAACAACAGTGATACCCTAAAACTCTTAAAAATGAGCAGCTGTCCCCATGTTTCTCCAGCAGGTAAGTTTGTTTGGGGGATATTTTTTGTACGATGAATATTTTGAATTAGCATTTATACCCAACTTATATCGGAAATTTCCAAAAATTCAGGATGATCTGCACAAATTTGTTATTGCACGGAAAAAAGGAGGAAGGAATTTGTTCACCACCTTGAGTTATTTATAAAAATAACAACCCTGAGTTATTTATAAAAAATAATAATAAAGGCAGACAATAAATAAATAAATAAATAACATAAAATAAGCACCTCGGCAGCAGTTCTTTTGAAATTGGATGAAACAGTGAAATCTTTGTTCTGTTCTTTTTCTTTTTTTCAACCAGTTGCCAAAATGCACCTCTTGTGCAGTTTATTTCTGCCAGGTCGCTCCCTGCTTTAGTCACTTCCCACCACACGTGATTCCTGCCACTGGCAAAACATTTTCCTGAATAATGTGCTGCATTTTTTAAAAAAGACCTAATAGCTTCTGGCAAAGGAGGAATGGTTATTTTATTATTCTAGAAGCAGGTGGAGATTCTTTAATTATGGGTAGTCCTAGACTTATGACAATTGAGGCAACATTTCTGTTGCTAAGCAAGACAGCTGTTAAGTGAGTTTTGCCACATTTTATGACCTTTCTTGCCACAGTTGTTAAGTGAATTATCGTCATAGTTAAGCTAATACTATGGTGATTAAATGAATCTGGCTTCCCCATTGACTTTGCTTGTCAGAAGGTCGCAAAAAAGAATCACATGGTCCAGGGACAACCCAACAGTCAAATACATGCCAGATGCCAAGTGATTAAATTCTGATCATGTGACCACAGGGATGTTGCAATGGTCATAAGTGTAGAAAGAGGTTGGTTATAAGTCACTTTCTCCAGTGCCGTTGTAACTTTGAAAAGTTACCAAACAAATGGTTGTAAGTCGAGGACTGCCTTTAATGAATCATAGGAAAGTGTATTCAACTTGAAGAAATTTTACTGCATGATTAAAATCTAGATCTATTGGCAGGTTTAATTTCCACATTAAAATTCCAAGTCAGCTTTGTTATCACCAGTGAGGAAATGCTTTATTCCTCAGCCCGATTCTTATCTCTAAACTATTCAAAGTTGTTAGTTTTTGCATTTACTGTAGTGTATGTGTTTCTATTCTATGACAGGCCGAAGGTGAATTCATATTGTGTTTTATTTTCTAGGAATCCTTTGTGTAGCTGACCAGTGCCATGGCTTACGAGAGCTGGCCTTGAACTACCACTTGTTAAGCGATGAGCTCCTTCTTGCTCTGTCGTCTGAAAAACATGTCCGATTGGAACATTTGCGCATTGACGTCGTCAGTGAGAACCCGGGACAGACGCACTTCCACACACTGGAGAAAAGCAGTTGGGATGCTTTCCTCAGACATTCCCCTAAAGTGAATTTGGTTATGTACTTTTTCTTGTACGAAGAAGAATTTGATCCCTTCTTCCGATACGAAACTCCGGTCACCCATCTTTATTTTGGGAGATCGGTCAGCAAAGAGGTCCTTGGACGGGTTGGAATGACGTGTCCGCGACTGGTTGAACTGGTGGTGTGCGCCAACGGGCTACGGCCCCTGGATGAAGAGTTGATCCGCATTGCTGAGCGTTGTAAGAACCTGTCAGCCATTGGCCTCGGAGAATGTGGTGTGTCCTGCAGTGCCTTTGTGGAGTTTGTGAAAATGTGTGGTGGCCGCTTGTCTCAGCTGTCAATCATGGAAGAGGTCTTGATCCCCGACCAGAAGTACAGCTTGGAGCAGATTCATTGGGAAGTGTCCAAGCATCTCGGGAGAGTTTGGTTTCCAGACATGATGCCCACCTGGTAGAGCTATTGGGGACAAGCCCTTAGCTTGGGCCAGCCTTGTGGCAGGTTCATCATAATAAGCTTCTTCGTGATCTTAGGATCTTTCAAGCACTGTAGAAAATCAGTCTACTCCTTAGTACTGGTTTCTAAAATCGGGGTTTAAAAAGTGTCCAGGGATGAACGAAACGTCTTCACATGACTTTATCATTGGCCTATTTTTGTCCTAACAAGATGGATGCTACCGTATGTAGATGTTGACATGTGTTTACATATTCAGAGGCTGCAGTTCCAAATCGTGTTCTGTTACATTACAGTATTTTAGCCTGCCTCTTGGAAATATTACTGCAACTGACTTTGTAAAGGAGCATATATCGCTTTAATGATGTAATCCGGGAAGCTGCAGGCATTAACCCAGGATATATAACAATGAATTGCTTCAAGTGCAGATTTATAATTCTAGATCCCAAAACCATAACTGTGGGTCGTTTGGTGTTTCCGTAACATTATATAGAGCCCTGGGACATGGTAGCTGGGGTATCTTTGTCTGTGGAAAATGTAAGTATTTGCTGCTTATTAAACCTCTCCAGAAAATCTAGTGGTGTGTAAATTATTAGCAGTGTATTTCTTTTTTTTATTTATTTATTTTTTGTTTCCTCTCTAGAGTTTTTTTCAAATGAAATTGTAATAATCATAGGGCAATGAGATCTATAATAAACATGTTTTAAAATATCGCTGAAGCCCAGTAAGCAAAAATACTAATGGGAGCTATAGTCTATATTTTGGGTTTTTTAAAACTTGTGTGCTAATTATTTTGGAGCATTGACTTTTTAAGATGCGCTATACAAGTTTTCTAAGAATGGAAGCCATTTGTGAAGGTCTTTTAGAGTAAATCCTATGACTTCCACAGGTTGAAAGGCAACAAAAATACGAGAAGTTGCTAGTAATCAGCTTGGGCCCTCAGTGACTCTAATAGACCATTGAATGGAAAATGGTGTGACTCCAGCACACACTCAAAATGGTCTGATTTCAGGCACTGATTCTTTTGCCAGTCAACCTAAGGTCAATTTGTAGGTGTTGCAACGGTGACAAAAAAGAATGGCTTTTCAGGTGCAAAAGCATCCCTATACCTTAAATCCCATTTCAAAAATCTGACATTAACAGATCAGCTGTTCCTTCCCACCACACTGTTCATTTGTATCCTGTGTCTAAAAGAAATGTCATAGCAGTCACCTTCACGATGAAACAGAGAAAGAGAATTAACAGGCTCAGCAAGTGAATGGATTTAGCAGGCTTTAAGGTTTTACCCTTCTGTATTAAACAACTTTGTTAAAATGATTAGGATTCAAACAGAGCCGGATGACTTGTTTCTCTGCAGCTGATGAGTATTTTTGGCAACTTTCTGTACAGGTATTGCAAAAAAGACCAGCTTTCCCGATTATTCATTTTGTATTTTAATCCTCTGGTAATTAGAAAACCAACCATTCATTGTTATTCTGTGAAAGGTGTAAATACTTAACTGCAAATGTCTAATTCTAATGCGACGGTTGAAGAAATTGAGCATAGAACATGTAAGCACAGTTTTGTCAAGGTATGTGAATGATGTCCATTTAGGAGCTAAATTTGATTGGAATTTAATGTAGTGTTGTGTGTCTTAGTTCTAGTTGGTTGGTTGTTTTTAAAAAAGACAAAAAAAAGTTTGCTTGTTTCCATAAGTTCATGTGATTCTTCTTTTTGCCTGTCTTTCTACACATATTTTGACAGCTTAAAAGGAGGAGCGTGAAAAACTGGGGAAGGCTTAAACTGAATTGCCTCACACCCCGCAAAAGCTTTTCTGATAAGTGAATATGGACATTGCTTACCTTTGTAAACATGAGAAGGCTAAAAATTTGTTTCCTGTCTAAGTTCCCCTTGTGAGCAAGCAGCCAAGAGAGGGCAGGGTTTATTTAGCATTACGGAACAGGGTTCAAGACGAGGGATATGAGTGGACCTGAGAACTGCTTGGAAATTGGTAGGACAATCTCTGCTTGAAGCAGGTCTCTTCAAGGAGAGTTGGCTGAGCAGCTGATCCCACGGGTACCGGGATGGAGGTAGGGGTTGTATTTTTTTCATCTGCACAAAAAATGCAAAATGAGAAGTTTCCCAGCAAAGACCATACATACACTTGGGTCAATTTGTAAACATGATTACAATACGTACAATACGTGGGCATCACATGACCACTCCCAATATTATTACCTTTTTTTCCCATGGTAATTAAGACAGAGATCGCAGGAACGTGATTTGAGATCTTTGATTTTGATTTTTGATTTTGAGTTCTTGTCATCAAGACATTTTGCCTCACAGGAAGAGTCACTAGAACAGTGTTTCTCAACCTTGGCTACTTGAAGATGTTTGGACTTCAACTCCCAGAATTCCCCAGCCAGCGAAT